CACAGGCCTGTAATCCCAGCACTCAGGAGGCTGAGGCAGTAGGATCACCATGGTCTGAGGCCAGCCTGGGCTACATAGTGAGTTCAAATCCAACATGAATTACATAGCAAGACCTTGTCTCAAGTAAAAGAAAAGTTGCTTCTAAAACCAAGATCCAGAGGTGAGGAGATGAGACCCACAGACAGTGTCGCAGGAGTGGCGACCCACACTGCACCTCCAGGGAGGGACCCCAACTGTCCCTACCCATCCTCTACTCCTGCCCAGCCAGGGTGCAAGACTGAAATCACCACCCTCCCTCCGCGGGCCTGAAGTCTTTAGGTGCGCAACTCTGGTAGCCATTGGTGGCATTGCAAACACAGATGCCAAGATTCTGGTTCCTCCTCCTTGGAGGCTAGGATTGAAGGGGGCTTAACTCACCCCACCTTCATGTCTGGCTCTGCCAGGTGTAAAAGGAAAGAGTAATGAAGGGAGAGATCGGAGCCATAAAATAGGGTGTGAGTAACTGAGCAACATTTTTGTCCCCAGACTCACTGCTTAAAAGAACAACTAAGCACCTGTAATCCCAGCACTCGGGAAGCTGAGGGAGGAGAGTCGTTGCAAGTTGGAGATCAGCCTGGGCTACAACAAGTGAGCTCAAGGCCAGCCTCAACTGCATAGCGAGACCCTGTCTCTAAAGACAAAAAATAGTCACAGAGACCAGATTTAGCCCAGTCAGTAGCTGTCAGTGTCTGGATGAGTTGTCTACAAACATTAAGCCACGTTCTGTGCCCTCAGAGCACAGAGCAGCAGCTGGTGGAGCCATGATGGCCCCCACACCCAGCCACTGTCACCAGGCCCCCTCCAGCAGCCTCCACAACTCTTGGCATGGGGACAAGAAACAGCAGGACAGGGCCCCCCCAGTCACCTGGAGCTTGAGAGATCTCCAGGCTGCTCCACTTGCATCCTCAGCACCCGCTCCAAGAGCCTCCAGGGCAGGGAGTCCTGGCCACTCCCTGCACCCCCCAAGGTGCCGGGTATCCCCGCCTTTAGCCCCTACCCCGGGAGGGGCCCACCCAGGCACTCATTGGTGACACAGCTTGACCTGTGCTCTGAAGGACAGTCCTGTCTGCTTCCACAGCTGATGACGGCAGCACTGCAAAGCAGGCTCTGAGAGTGACATTGGCAGTGACACTCCAGGGCTCCCTTCTGTCACCTCCTCAGGCATGTGATCTCCCCACCCCATGAGAAACAGAAGCTCTGGAAGGGACCAGGATGGTTCTGACACTCAGAGCCACCTCCAGCCGGTCCCTGCAATGCATTGTCAGTGGCCTAGAAGGGCTTAGAAGTGACCAACATGACCTTCAGGATGCCGTGTCGGGACACCCGAGCTTCATGTCAGCTGTACGAACCCCAGTCGACCTGGGCACATCTCTGCCTCTTAGGCCAACCTGGGAGCTGAAGGACACCTCTGGACCACCTTTGTGTGCCCAGCAGCAGCAGGCAGCTTGTGCTACCATCTAGCATGCAGTCTATGTGCAAAACTGTAGGTGCTGCTCCAATCGGCATAACCGGCCAGACTCTGCCCCAGAGCATTAGTGGGAGGGGAGTGCCTCTCCCAGTAAGGCTCAAGAACAGACTATGAGGAGCCCAGGCACCTTAGCCCCTAAGGATTAAAGGGACTAGACAGAGACGGTGAGCAGCTTTGCACACCAGAGGGCGCCCCAACACCACGCCAGCAGCTTCCAGGGCCTGCATGGGACTAACTTACCTTGGTCAACTCGGGGGCCTAACACCCCAGGGGGCACCAACCCGAGAGGAGGCAAAGGGGAAGTTCTGGGACCACAGGGCACTGCTAGAGATGCAGCAGGAAGTGAGACCCCGAGGCTTCCTGGGACAAGGATGAGGCAGAACAAAGGAAAGGGGACCCTTGAGGGGACAGAAGGGTTAGGGAGCTAGGGGCTGAGAGTTAGACCTAGAGCAGCACGGAACAAAGTCCTCTGAAGCTGCCAAAGCCACATTTTGGCCCAGTCCATCTAGCAGCTACAGGCAGGGGAGATTTAAATAGATACGGCATACAAAGTCCATGCGAATAAGTATCCAGGAGTGAGGTCCTTGAATCAGTGGTGTGACCACTGCTTTGTGGACTTTCTATTTTAGAAAGAGTCCGGGCTGCCTCCCTGAACTCCCTGTGTAGCCCAGGCTGGCCTGGAACTTACCATCCTCCTGCCTCAGCCTCCTGAGTGCTGGGATTACAATCATACACCACCACACCTGGCAAATTTCTATTTCTTAACCAGGCCCCTAAAGATATTTCCCAGCTCTTTTCTCCTACCCACCCTGAACTTCTGCCTCTTTTAAAATGGGGTCTTAAGAGCTGAAGGTGCACCAGACTTTGGGGTCTATGTATGTGACAGAGAATCATTTCATTGCATAGGGAAGCAGATGGCTTGAGAATTGAGCCTTCGCATCCGAGGGGGCCTCTCTGACTTCAGGGTCGAAGGCTGCAGGAGGCGGACAGGAAGGCCCTTCCACATAGTTGGTGAACAGGTTTGAAAACTAAAGTGATTTATGAATGATTTTCATTCTTACCACATGAGAACCCAGAAATCCTGGGTTTGATAGGGGCTGTAGTTTATCTAGTGCCTAAGCACCTGGGATATCTTTTTGTTTCTGCAGGGATCCAACTCAGGACCTTGAGCTCGTCAGGCAGGGAAGCTAAATCCGGGCCCTAGCACCTGGGATTTTAATGTGTTCTCTAAGATTCCTAGGGCCTGCTGTCTCTTCTCTACTCTCTTCCAGGTAAAATACGAGATTAAAACCTTTTCATGCCCACAGACCCACTAAAGAAACAGTCAAGAGGGGCATCAGCTGGAATCAACTCCATCTGCTGGTAAAGATGAGAAAAATACAAAGAGGTGTAAGATAATCACAGAAGACTCAGTGAGAGCCAGGCATGAGAGCACATGGTAGATCCCGGCCCTCTGGGAGGCTGAGGCAGGAGCACTGCAAGTTCAAGCTCAACCTGGAAAACTTTGTAACTTATTGAGACCCTGTGTCCAAAACATAATCAATCAATCAATAAATGAATAGGGGCTGGGATACAACTCACTGTGAAAGCTCTGGGTTAAATCCCCAGTACCAAAACAAAGAAAGAATGAAAGAAAGAAAGAAAGAAAGAAAGAAAGAAAGAAAGAAAGAAAGAAAGAAAGAAAGAAAGAAAGAAACTAACTCAGAGAGCTGTGTACTATGCATTAAGCACTATCTTGTGCTATTGAGGCCAGGGATTTAGCTTAGCAGCAAATAACCTGCCTGGTAAGCACAAGGTCATGAGTTCAATCCCCACTATCAAAAAACAAACAAACAAACCATCTTGTGCTATCATTAAACCTCATCAGACCTGGAAAGAGTCACAAAAAAATATACTCACATGAGGAGGGAATGCAATGGGGCTCTTTCACAGCGGGCTGCAGTGGAGCTGTCAGCTCCGAGACACTGACTCTTAGGTGCCAGCTGTGTGGTCAGAGGCTTCTCTTTATCCCCTGACCAGAAGCAGGACCCTGGGAGTTAAAAGATGTGAGTGTAGCACATGACAGGCCCTATCCTCCCGACGCTGAAGCAGCCACTGTCCACTCTGCTTCACAGCTCACCCCTTACCTAGGCGTCTGCAGCCCTTCGCACCCTTGGGGGACCTGTCCAGAAGGAGCTTCAGGGAGGCCTGCCCTGGAGGGGGCATTGATGCCCTGCTCCTGGCTCTGCGGGACCTTAGAGGACATGTGTCATAGTCCCTCAAGATCTGCAGACCCCGCAGCCTGAGGGCTCACCCTGCCAGGCATGGAGTCCCAGCACATGACCTGGGACCCAGGAACCCGCCCTCCTTGTCATAGCCCTGAAAATCATAGGCTAGGCAGCAGCACCCCAAGAAAGGTACCTGGGGGCAAAGGGCACCACCTTTGTGGCAGGGAAGGTGTGGCCTCTGGGTCTCTCGCACAGCCTGTCAATGAGTGTGAGTAACAGGAACATAGACATGTGTACAGAAGGCCTCTTCTGCCTCAGGAGCTTTCACTGCTCAGGGAAGGTTCTGACCCAAAGAACCTAGGCATCCCCAATGCTCAGTCTCCAAGAAGCAGCCCTTGCTGGAGATAGCAGGCGACAGACGCCAGGAAGCCCCTTCGCTGAGGGAGGCCATCAGCTTCAGGCCCTCAAGGACTCTCGTGCACTCCCTCCACCTCCTCCTCCATCTGCTCAGGCAACTCAAGACAGGACGCAGGCCCCTGGGACACCCAGGCGCAGAGCCACTGAATTATGGAGCAGCTCTCCAGTGCCTCCAGAAAGGCCTGGGCTAAATAATTCATGGCCATGGGAAGCCCCAGTGGTTCCCACACCACAGAAGTAGGTCAGGCGTGCACAGTGCTGGCCAAATAGCAGAGCGAGGTAAGGGGACAGGTCAGGGGCTTTGGTCCCCGTAAACCCCATTTGGCACCCAAGCTCTTCCTGCCTGCCCCCCTCCACAGTCACCCCAAGCCAGCAGCTGCCTGCATGGTCACCAAGGCAGGACCAGGATGCAGATGGGGCCAGATGAGGCATGGAGAAGAACGCCAGCGTCACCGGTGGGGTGCAGCTGGAGCAGTGACAGAGGTCAGCCACAGCCACCATAGCTTTGCTCAAGGCAGGGCTGGCATGGAATCCAGCAAGGGGCAGGCTCTGGTGCTGCCCAGCCCTCCTGTCCCTGGCACAGGGTATCAAGTGGCTCCTGGGCAGACATGGGTGGGAAATGTGAAGGGTAAAGCCGAGCCCCATCCCCCCTTATGAGGGAACCAGGACCACACAGGGCACAGGGAAGAATCGGGGAGGATGTGGGCATCCTGAACGCTGCCCTGGGCAGCCCAGGCTCTAAGTGCTGCCCAGCTCCAGGGATCTTCTCCCCCCACCCGCAAGTACCCCCTCAGGACGGGCACTGAGCCCCTCCCTGGACCCCTGCAGCAGCACCCAGGGAGGCAGAAGCAGAAGCCGTGGATCGGCCGTCGCTTTGGAGTTTTTATTTCACATTCTCACAGGATCAGCAAGTACAGCCACCTCATCCCCCAATTCCAAACGGCAAGAGGGTGGCGGTCACAATAAAAGGTAAAGCACGGAACGCTTATAACACAAAATAAAATTGCACAACTTTTCCTTCATTTTCTTACACTGCGCCTGACATGAGGCTCACAGCCGCCGCCTCCAGCTGAGTGTTAAACAGATTTGATGGGGCAAACGAGGTCTGCTTAATAATTCAATGATACACACATGAAAAGTCCTTTACGAGGCATAAATATTCTCCTACACAGGGTACAAAAATACTTTCCATGTTTTGGTTTCGAGGTTTGGAAGAAAGAGTGAAGAGCGGTGGGGTGGGGCAGCAGGCCATGGCGAGGTGACCGCGGTGAGGTGGCTGTCACGGCAGAGGTTGTCCCCAGGATGACTTGGGGATGCAGTGAAAAGCAACGCTGGTCAGGGCTGGTGGGGGCTGTGCAGCCTGACGTGCGGGTGCCCTGGGCCCCCAGAAGCAGATGGGGATGGGTAGGGGTGGTCCAGGTGCCAGGGCCAGTGCTCGGCGACAGTGTGAACACAAAGTACACTCACACAGACATGCAGCTGAGTGTCTCCATTCGTGCCAGAAAACATACAAAAAACTAAACACCTCGCTTTCCTGTGGGGCAGCTACAGAAAAAAGCAAATTAGGGTGAACGTTTTGGGTTGAGGAAGAGGGAAGGGACACAGGAAGCTGTCCACCAGCGACAGCTGTCAGGGTCAGTCTCTGGAAGGAGTGGAGCAGGGAGATTTGGGACCCTGTGCTGGCCCCACCCACAGTCCCCATGTTGTCTGCTCCCTGGACAAGACCTGGACGGGGCAAGAGAGGCTGCTGTGAGCAGAGCCAGGGACAGGTGTGGCCTGGGGCCTGGCAGGGTCCCAGGGGTGAGAGAAACATGGTGGGGGGGGAGTCCCCTCCAGGGCACCCTAGCAGAGGGAGGCCCAAGAACACAGAAGCCAACATCCTGGACCCCTATGGTCTGGCCTCAGGGCTGGCACTTACTGTGGCAGCGCTAGCAGAGCTGGTGGTATTTCCACCCCTGCTGGGTGTCGGAGGATGGGAACCAGCGCATCTGTAAGAGAAGCCCACATCAAGAGCCTGGTGTGGCCAGCTTGTCACTGATGGCCAACCTGGCTGGGCCCTTGCTCCCCTTACAGACCCGCTCCTTCACCCTGAAAATGGAAGCATCACCAGCCCCAGCGCCTCTGCAGCACAGAGGTCACCCAGATGTTAAAGCTACCAGCTGGGGGAAACATGGCAGCTGGGCACAGCCATGCCAACAAATCTGCCTTCTCCCCTCTGCTCATAGAACAGGAAAGGCCACTGATCAGGAGAACAAGCCTAATAAAACTGTGCACCTCTTCTGGGGGGGGGGGGTGTCTCGGCATCCTCTTCCAGCTCTGGGGAGACCCAGCTGATGTTTCCGCTTCTTCCCTGGGCCTTGGCACCCCACCCGCTAGTGAGCCCTGGCAGCCCTAGGCCGTCTTCACCCATGCCTGGCAGCACTGGCCAGAGGAAGATAAGGAAAAACCTTCTCTTCTACCCCTGTGGGCACCAGGCCAAGGTGCAGGGAAGGCAGCCTGGCCCGATCACACCCAGCGGGGTGGCCCAGGGTTGGGGCAGGGCACCTTGAATCCCAGTGGGGATATAGGAAAAGGAGGGGTGTTTAGAGCTGGGCAGCCAGACACCCCTCCCTCCCCGATTGGCTGCCTGTGACCTCTGCCCCTTGGGGAGCAGAGAGGACACCAAGCAGCATCAGAGCAGCGCCAGCCCCTCTATGAGAACTCATGTGCCTGTCGTCCCCACACAGTGCCAGGTGCTGCGTGACATCGGGCCAACATGCCCTTCCAGGAGCAGCAGGAAGGCAGAGGCCAACACGCTCAGCCTGCACCCCTGTCCACAGTAGGACCACCCAGGGTCCCTAACCCATGCCAACCCCCCCCCCCACGCCCTCCATGGCTGAGCACAGGGCACTGTGTCACCAGAATGCAGCCAGCCCCAGGCATCCAGGACCACCCTTCACTGAGCCTCACTACACAGAAGGGGCTGCAGGAACTCCTGCAAGGACAGCTCCGGGGAGGGCTTCACTCCATCATCCTCATCGGTCCTCTCTACCAGAGAAGCCTGGGGCTGGGTGCAGCTCAAGGAGACCTGGTGAGTCCTGTGCCCCCCAGGAGCAGTGCAGTGAGGGCACCAGCTCCAGCAGGGGACCTGTGGGAGACTCCGGCTGCGCAGAGACTTAGGCAGCTCCCCCAGGGGAGTCACTAGGACCCAGCCACTCCCCAGCTCCTTGGTGCAGCCACCCTGCCCCTTGGAGGCTGCCAGGAGCCCAAGATCTTGGGAAGCAGCCTAATCCCTCCCCAGACCTCCTCTTCTGGTCTCAGAGAGAAGCGGAGCCCCAGCCCAGAGGCAGGGCCTGCACATCAGGGCCCAGTGTCCTCCCAGGGCTCCAAGCTGTCCTTGAAAGAAAAGGCCCCGAGGAGCAGGCACACAGGCTGCTTCTGAACAAGCAGAGAGGGTACAGCCTCAGGGCATCGGCCCCCCTCAGGACTGACTGTCCCAGAGTTACCCAACAAGTGGGCAAAGGAAGGAATCTACAGGGGAAATCCGGGCTGGCCCCACAGACACGCGGCCTCACGCCTCAGGTCAGAGCCAACACTTACTCAAGCTGGCAGTGCTGCACCTGAACCTTGTAACAGGCCTGACAATGATCGGAAAGACACAGGGGGTTGTGGCAAAGTGGTCACTGCACTGACATCTGTCCTGAAACTATCTGCTGGGTGTGGTGGCTCACACCTCTAATCCGGGCAGGCCACTCGGGAGGCTGAGGCAGGAGAACTGCTTAAATTCAAGGCCCGCTTGGGCTACATAGCAAGATCCTTCCTCAAAAAAGGTCAATTGTATACAGTGTGTTCTGCGCAGGCCTAGGTCACACTGAGCTCCCCTCACACACAGCACAGAGACTTTAACAAAGCTGCATGTGCAGCGCCCCAGCCACCCTGCAAGCAGTTGTCACCTCACTGAACTCTCAGAGGCAGAGTAGCCGGTGCTCCCCACCCCCGCACTGTTACACTGTTCCACAGGATTGTGTGACCTCAGGCCTTACGTGAGCAGTGGAACCGATCTATGGGGGAGCCGTGCTGACAACCGCTGGTCTTCAGATGGACACAGAAAACAAAAATCCACCCATGAGGGGACAGCAGTCTCTTCTCCAGGCAGCAAGCTGACCAGGGCCAAGAGGGGACCAAACTCCATGCTGCCGCACAGCTGGCTCTGCACCCCAGAGCTGGGAGTCCCTGCTCAGGCCAAGCTGCTGGCTGGGTAATTGAGGGGCTCAGGTTCCCACCCCTGCCTGGCCCGAGTTCTTCTGCTGCTCCCCTCCCGCCCCCGTTCAGGACCATCAGCTTAGATGCACACACTCGTTCCCCTGTGTCTCACTTTCCCTCATCCCTCACTGAGGTGCTTGGCCTCGTCTCCAGCTGTGCTGCTAGGGTGGAGGGCAGGGACAGGGTCCTCAGACAGAGGACAGAAACACTGACTCCGGCCTCGACACCTCCTCAATGCTGTGCAGATGGAAGCCCAGTGAAGCACCATGGCAGAAATAGTGATGTCATTGCCTCCCCAAAACACCACTGTTCTTTGGGGGTGGCCTCTGCTGCCCCCCCAGCCACAGGCTTCCAGTCCCAGAGAAGACAGAGACCCCCACAAGTGTGACAGGAAGCCTCGCACAGCAGCAGTAACAGCGGACTCAAGTCATTTTCCTGGGCTGGCACTGACCCTGGTCCCGCTTCCCCTACCCACCCACAGGGGCAAGGGGAGGCTGGGCTGGGGAATGGGCAGGGTTGACAGGAGGGCACAGGGTTGTGTGAGTAGTGTGCAGCCCTGGAAGGACAACAGTGTGTACCCCAGCCAGAGCCCACAAACTCACTGTCCCTGGCTCCTGGCCCTGCTGTAGGCCAGGGTCTCAGGGACTGGGGCACAGCCTTGGATGGATCCTCTAGCTTTCTGGGGATGCATCCGGGGAACAGCTCCAGCCAAGATGGTGCTGTGCAGAAGGATCCCTGTGGGGATGCAGCCTGCCAAGGCGGTGGCCCTTGGGCCTCAGCTTCACACCTTGCAGCCACACAAGCTTGATGTCTTGAAGACCCCCACCCCCACCCTCTTTCTCTTCCTATATGGCCAGGGACCTGCTGCTACTGCTAGGCATCTGCACTGGCCCACCCTTCTGCCTTCCAGCTGTGGAAAGTGTCTAGACTTCCTAGGAACAGGAGTGCACGCTCAGTAAGTTCTCAGGACCCTCAGGCACTGTTCCTGAGGGTTCCCAAGGTATCATCTAACTCTCCCCACAACTAAGGAGGGGCCTGCCCCTCTTCTAATCTTCCAGATGAGCAAAACTCTTAAGCACAGAGGCCTTAAAAGCTTGAAAAGCTCACAAAGACAGGAAGAGGAAGAGGCAGGTGTGCTGGCCTTGCTGTGTTACACCAGCCTCTCAGTGCCCACGTACTCTGTCCATCGGATCCTGAGCTCCAAGGGCATAACACAGCTCCCCAGGGCCTGGTGGTCAAGAAGGACAAAGCCCCAGTAGCCAGAGCTCCCGCACCTCTAGGGGCTCACCTGAGCATGCAGGGTGGCAGCCGCAGTGGCAGCCGAGTAGCTGAAGGCTGTGTGAGAGATGGCAGGCATCAGCTCCGTGCTGTACAGAGGGTAAGGGGTCCAGGCCTCTGGGGACGCAGGGATCAGAGCAGCACCCATCATGTCATCTATAGTGGGATATGACAGCCTCCAGGGTCAGATGCTGGCCTTCCCTAACCTCCTTCTGAACATCACCAGGGTCCCAGGGCCACGGTAGAACCAGACTCCCCTGCCCCCACCCCACGGGGACCCTGGAGCAGGGGGGAAGCCACGTGGACACAGCCAGTACATTGAGGACCCTGACTCAAGATACACTCCCCGTCTCCAGAGAGTGAAATCAGTAGTGAGGAGGCAGGGCAGCCCTGCAAGACAGCAAGGCAGCTGCAGTCTTGGAGAGGGCCAGCTGCAGCCCTAGGAGCTCTGGAAAGGGCACCAGGAGGCCTGACGCCCCAACCAGGATGGGCAGGAGGCCCCTGCTCGGAGCACCACTCACAGGGGTCTCTCGTGATGAAATGCGCTCCCAGGGCTGGGTGAATGCTGCTGGGGTTTGGCGTCGCCAGCAGCTTGCTCTTGGCCATCTTGGTGTTGGCTTTTGCAAATTCTAGCCTCAGAGTCTGTGGGTTCTCGGGATCAAATCGAATGCCCTGTGCAGGAAGGGAAGAAAGAGAAAGCCCCATGCTGTCAGCCTCGGTAGACACCAGAAACCAGCTTGTACACAACTTGGGAACACCACTCAGACATAGTCACATCTGTCACCAGGGGGCCTGCCAAGGACTCTGGCCTGGGAGTTAAAACCCATCTACGGCCCCCCTTCCTTGGATATGGAGTGGCCGAGGACAAGGGTCTGCAGAGGACAGACAGGGACACTGCTGACGGAATAGTGGCTCTGCCTACTCACGTTCAGTGCGTTCTTGGCCACTTCTGCACCTGCCCGGCTGTCAAAGATCACAAAACCAACAGGCTAGTAGGAGAAAAAAAGAACACCCTGGCGTCTCTCTCGGCAGGTAGCCCCGCAAACAAAAAAAAAGACCAGACGCCTAACATGCATGAACTTGGGTTCCAGCCCCAGACCTCAAAGAGAGAAAGGGAGAAGAAAAAGGCCCACCACCTAACTGGAGGCAACACTGGGCTGCTGACGAGAAGGGCGTCTGCACTGCAGCGCTGGGCGCACCCCCAACAGCCTTGCCCTCACCCCAAGCCGGTGGATGCTGGGCAGCACCACCAACAGAGTCACTCAGTCTCTAACACCATGCTTTCAGGAAAAGCCCTTTGAGTTTCTTTTTCGTTTTTTTAAAATGGTGCCAGGGATCAAACTCACAACGTTGTACTTGCTAGGCAGGTGCTTAGGCTGATATTTTATTTGTGGAAACAGTCTCACTATGTATTCTAGACCAGAGCCTTGAACTAAGGCTCAATGATCATCCTGCCTCAGCCTCCCAAGTGCTGAGGTTACAGGAATGCACCATCATACCCAGCCCTGAATTCATCTGGCCAGCAATCAGTGGACACTCTAGATAACCTGAAGGCTCAGGACCCAGCCTCCTACATTAGGGGCCAGGGAATGGTTCCCCAAGTGCCTAGAGCCAAACAGAAAGCTTTGAACCAGCCTGGTCAGCAGAATGGTATAAACACAGGGATTAGGAGGGTGCCCTTTTGTCATCCCAGGACAGACAGGAGCAGGATCCCCACCATCACAGGTCTTACCTAGGTAAAACCCTAATCCTAACCCCAGGCCCTAGTCTAAGCTCAGACAAACCCCAGGGGAGCAAGTACCTGTCTTGAGGTGAGCTTGATGAGGGACCCTTCGTATCCCTGTAAAGAGAGGTGGCCAGTCACAAGCCCCACCCCCAGGTCCCACGCTGATGCCCCTCGGCTGTCCTGTGTCATGCAGTCCAGCTCACGGCGACTGTCACTTCATGCCTAGCGCCCTGGTGCTCTGCTGACTCACATTGGAGGGCCAGTGACCCTGCCTCCCACATCCTCCTCTGCAAATAGAAAAGGCAACCAGGCCTCTGGGGGCGGGGGGTGGCATTTGCAGATAAGGAGCAGGCTTCAAGGAGCTCCAGAGAGGAGCTGAGCATAGACCCAGCATGGGCCAGGCCCAGGTTAGCCGCCTCTCTGTCCACGCCAGCTCCACCCAGGCCATGGCTCTGCCTCAAGGGTGGCTGGGGCCCACTCACCTTGAACGGCCGGAAGAGCAGGTAGAGCTCTCTGGGTTTGATGTCCATGGGGAGCCCACTGACAAACAGCGTCCGCACCTGGGGCAGAGACCGAAGTGGTCAGGTCAAGGTGAGAGAGCCCCACTCTGCTCCCTGCTCCTCAAAACATCGCACACAAGGACGTCAGGATTCTTCAGGAGATGCCTGGCAGGCGTCTGTTCGGGCAACGTACATCCCACACCTCCCAAGGTCCAGGAATGGTTTCAGCAGAGGCCCACGCTCATCTCTCTTACTGGGTGACAGGCTCTGAACTGGCAAGAAATGTCTTAGCTTTATTTTCTTTTGGGTACGGGAATCGAACTCACTGCCTCATGCTTGCTGGGCAGGTCCTGTACCATTGAGCTTTATCCCTCACACGTGTTAGATTCTTGCCTCTAGGCCCAGCTCTAGGCCCAGAGCTGAAACTACAGGTTTACTAAGATAGATAAGGCATCACAAATGGAAAAGTTACTTATGCTGGGTTCTAAAGGATGAGCAAGAACTCCGCAGCTTCAAATGAGGCAGATGATGCTGGCTAAGCCTCGGGCTGTAAGTCCGTGGCAAAGCCAAACCTGACCTCCAGAGGTTAAACCAGCTGCTACTGTGACCTGGGGACCATGGAGTGGAGTGTCTAGTTTAGATCAGTTAAAAAACACAACTCAAAACTGGCTTTTTTTCTTCTTTTTTTTGATACCAGGCATCAAACTCATGACCCTGCACTTGCCAGGGAAGAGCTTGTGCTGCTGAGCTAAATCCCCGGCCCAAAATTGGTTTCTTGAACTGTGAAAAGCTGGAGTAACAGGCAGGCCTTAAGTAAGTGCAGGTCTCTGTAACACCCCAGTGTGGACTCAGAAGACAGCTCAGCTGCCCACCCCACCTCAGGGCCACATTCTCTCCACAGGGATCAAAGATCCCACGCCAGGAACTCAGGCAACAGCCTCCGTGGGACTCAGGTTTGCAGCAGGGCCCCAGAGCAATGTGGCAAAGTCACACATACATAGACACACACACACACACACACACACACACACACACACTCACACGCACACGCACACAGGAATAAAGGAAACAGCCCAATGATGGCTTCTAGTTCCCACATCACCACCTCACCTCCACCCGAGTGACTCCTGGCCAGGGCAAGGACAAATGTCTTCCCTCACGTGGGATTTTGGCAAGCATATTTGGCAAGGTCACTGGTCACTTAGGGTGCATCCCTCCACCCCTCTGGCTCCACTCTTTCCTTGCCAGCTGAGTCAGTGACCAGGCCTACTACGGAGCAGGCAGGAGGGCCCAGCTTACATGGGACCTCCACTTCCCAGCCCCAGGTCACAGCCCCTGGTGCCCTTCTGCCGCCTGCTGTCAGCGCTGGAAAGGCGCTGGGTTCAGGGACTGGGATCTGGGGCCGCTCTGCACTCAGGGCAGCTCCGGGTTCCCCAGCAAGGTGGACTAAGCATGCATACTGCCCACTGCGGGGACCTACCCAGCCGTCACCACCCTAACCCCCCACCCCGGGGGCTACAGCACCGTATGGTGGGCAAGAACCCTGTGCAGCTCCTCATCCCCCTCCCACAGGGGCCACTCAGCTTGGCCAGGCTAATTTTAAAACCTCCCTCAACAGCTCCTCCCTAGCAGACCTCCCGAGGGTCCCCAAAATAGCAGCTTCTTGGCACAGGGCTCCCACCCTGTCCATACCCAAGATGCCAGTTCCCAGCACCCTCTCTGGGCTGTATGGCCCTACTCCCCTGGTTTCCACCTCTCAGGTCCTAACATCCCCCAAAAGCCAGCCTGTCCTGTCCCTGGCTTTCTGGGGACACAGGCAGTCATAGGCCCTGTGCACAGGTATGCCAGGGGTAGGCTGAGTCAGGTCAATCTGGTCTGAGTTTGATCCTCAGTTCTTGTTTCAGGCCATATGAGCCAAGGACACACACAAGGCCCCTTAGACCGAGACCACAGGCCCAGGAAAGCCTGCCAAGTAGTCAAGGGGACACGGTGTTGTCATCAAGGAGTGGAGCCAGGTAGACTCCCCTGTCAAGGGGACTCCGCTGCCCAGCAATCCGCCTAGCAGACCCTTGGGCAAGGCTGGGTGACAGACATTTCCCTCCTGCAGCATTGGCTTCAGATGACAGCAAAGCAGACGGGTGATGAAGGCAAAGAACAGAAATTGCAGAGCAGAGGTGAGGTAACTACGAGCTCACAGGCTGATCAGCGTTGGGGTCCTGCAGTCTTCCTGCCCCTCAAATGCCCTCCGTGGGGAAGGGCACCCCAGTCCCTCCAGCTCTTCAAGCCCCTTTTCCTCGCTGAGATCCTGTCCACTTGGCTGCCCCTGCCTGTACTTGCACCCACCCTAACCACACGAAGCCTAGGGCAAGATCGAAGTTGGAAAGGGGTGGCTGGGAGCAGAGTGGCACTGGTGGCCCAGCCTCCCCCCAAGCCCAAGTTGCACCTCACTTCACATAGTGGCTCTGAGGTTCGAAGGACACCTGCTCACCCTTGGACTCCAAGCAACCATGGTGCCCGTACAACCCTCTTGCTCTTAGGCGCTCCTAGACTCTCGGCTCTGTCCTTCCCAAGGGAGGCCCAGCTCAAGGGCACTCTGGAGATCGCCTAATGAAACCCCAGCTTCCATAGAGGAGGGGAAACGGAGGCTCAGAATAGGCGGCAACACACCCATGGCAGTCAGGACCCTCTGGGGACAGGCAGGTGCTTCTCCAAGGCCCACAGATTCACGCTGTGCCTCAGGGTGACCTGGCTGGATGCCAGCCAAAGCGACTCAGGTGTCAACAGCTGGCACAGCCCATGGTAGAAACTGACCAAAGGACCCGTGTCCTACCCATTCCACAGCTTATTCAGCAAAATCAACACACACCAAGTATACTATAAAGCCACACCTGCAATCCCTGCACTCTGGGAGGCCGAGGCAGGACTGCAAATTCAATCCCAGCCTGGGCAACTAGTGACTTAATGAGAGCCTGTATCAACAAGAACTAAAAAGGGGTGGGGAGGGACTGGGGGTTTAGCTCAGCGGCATAAGCGCCTGCCTTGAAAGCAGGCAGTTGTGAGTTCGATTCCCGGTACCGATAAAAAGGAAAAAGACAAAAAAAAAAAAAAAAAGGGGGTGGGGGAAGCAGCACTGTGTGTGGTCCCTTGTTTAATCTTCAGTGCTGCCTAAAGAAAAGTCTCCAGTACCCATTGAAAGGGTCAGGGGCTGTCTGCAGGCCCTACCTAGAAGGCACGGAGCTCTGCCATGAGCCCCTCACCCAGAAGCATCCATACCCCCAAGAGACCTTGCTGCCCTGGCTCCCTTGAAAGTGAGGGGCAAACACAGCCCTCTGAAGGCCCTCATCAGGCCTGGCAGGAGCTGTGGTGCAGCCCTGGGAGTTGGCTGATGTGAACCCACAGTGAGGACCCCAACCAGGTCTCATCCCCACAGGGGACCTCACAGGCGGGTCCACACCACAAGCTGCCACTGGCTGGCTCCTGCCCAGGTTGTCCCCAGCCTGACCCCCAGTGCAGGAGGGCAGGAGAGGGCAGCGAGTGTTACAGGAAGCAACAGCAGCTCTGTCTCCACTGGGGTTCTCAAAGCTGGGGCTGGGAAACTGCCCCTCCTGGTAGGAATGAGTTCATTTTTTCTTGGTGCCTCTACGGTTGAGCTGAGCTACCCTCCGGCCCCAAGAACAGGTTTAAAAGGGGCTTCTCCTTTGGGAGGCCGAGTGAGGAAGATCTTCACTCTGAACTCAGCCAGGCCAGGCCAACTTCAGCAGGTTCTACCTAAAAGTCATAGTAAAATTGGCTGAGGAAATGTAGCTCAGAGCAAAGGCCCCCAATTCAATCCTCAGTAGAGCAAATTTAAAAGCTAATTAATCCAGGGAAGCACGAGGTCATAAGTTTGATTCCTGGCACCAAAAAAAAAAAAAAAGTTCATTAATTAAAAGGAGACAGGGGACCCAGGTCGCCCCTAGCCACCCATCCCTTCCTTTTAAGTAAGAAGTCAACTGCCAGGATTAAGAGGCCACTTCCAGGTTTTCTTGTTTAGCGGAGCCTCTACAGGCCACAGCGTGTAAGAGGGGCTTTGAAAGCCCATCCACGCTGTGTTGGGGAATTATTCCTTCAATCCAACTCACCCTGGCTTAAAGAGCATCAGGAAAGACCAAACACACTTTCAGGAACAAGCTGTATCTTAGTTACTTTTCTTGTTGCTAAGACAAAATACCTGACACACAAAGTTAAAGGAGAAAAGCCTTACTGGGCTCACAGCGTGTGGGGGTCCAGTTCATGGCTGGCTCCAAGGCAGGGTGGGCAGAAAGAGCAAAACTGAGTGCCAAGCAAGCGACCCCTTCTTTCTGTCCCTAATGTCTGACCGACACTCCCCAACACTCAGGGTGAGCAGCACTCACGCCTGGGACAAGACAGCCTAAATGCTAACCAGTACTATGTCCAACTGGTCAGTGGACTGACTTCGTAATCACACTCCTGAGACCACTGTCACACACACCAGGTCCAGCTACCTCCAAAAAGCTCCGCCTACAACCACACGAGGTTTTGGGGGGACATCTAGACATAAGCCATGACAAGGTGCAAGCAACCCCCAAGGAATAAACCTAACAGCACCAAGTCAGAGGAATAAACAGGCTTCCAAACAAGGCCAGGGCCCTGAGGGTTATGGAGGGTGTTGGCACCACCAGAGTAGCCCACTCCTCTCCAAGAAGGGGCCAGGCGGTGGCTCAGCTGTGGACCTTCGGCCTGGCACCCCTTCCAAACCCATGCAGAGCCATGTGGCTAGCCAGGCCTGTGTGCCCTTCAGGGGAAGGACAAACCCATGCCTACAAGACATGACCTCCACACTGTGTCACACACTCCCTGAGTCCCCTCAGCTCCTCAAATACCAGTTTTCACCAGCCACGAAACAGCCAACCTTGCTTTAAAATCAGTCATGCGCCTGTGATCTCACATTCTAAGAGGCTAAGGCAAGAGGCTCATTCAGTTTAAGCCTAGCCCAGGCGATTTATGGACTTAGTGAGAGCCTCTCTCAAATTTAAAAAAAAAGGCTAGGGATATAGCTC